TCAAGGGGCGGGGGGTTCGGCAGCCTCACTTGGAAGCCCCCCTACCCCATGCTCCAGCCCTCCAGAAAGGTGATCAAGAAGGGAGGACATTGTCCTCTTGCTGCAAGAAAGCAGCAGCTGTAGGCAATAAGGGGCTAGGTAGGTAGACCCATATTCAAATGGGGAAATGGAAAGCACCAGACCTGGGTGGCCTTAGGCTATGATAGGTCCCCACCCCATCCCTACTTTACCAGGTTGTGGACCTGGTGGTGCCACCCACTAGGCACAAACACCATCTCGCCCGCCTCCTGCATGACCTCCAGGGGTAGGCTACCATGCTGTCGCATGGGATGCAGGCGGGAGTCGAGAAGCGTGGGAGAGGTCACGTCGTAGGGCAGGCCACCATGACAATCTCGCAGTGCTTCCTCTTGGCCTGGGGGAAAGAATAACCACTTCTTCCTCCCGCAGATGTTGACTGACCAGCTGAAGGAGCGAAAGATGTCAGCATGGAATGGGGACCTGCAATGAGAACTCGTGGTTTATGCATTGCATGGTCCCCTGTGGGCTTTTTTTTTTTTTTTTTTATTGAAGGGATAACCAAGCTCAGTACCCAAGACTTCTAAGGGAAGAGGGGCAGCCCCTCACTCACTTGAGACAAGTGCCTTCAGTTATGACACCCATACGAAGCAGCCCCTCTTCTGACAAACTTGACCTGTGAGCCAGGTGGGCCCCCTACGTGCATTACCAGGTGCCCTTGGGTCCGGCGTAGACAAAGCGATAGTCGTCCAAGTCTAGAGCATCCCAGAACTCATTCAGCCAGTCAGATGAGAAGTATATGGGAAGGGTGAACACATCCTCTGCTGAGGAGTCCCTGTGGAGAGTAGCACAAGCTGTGGGAGGAGCTGCCACGCTACCCACCACTCAGCCTGCCCACATGGATACATCAAGTGAGAAAAATAGTCTTGGAATGTTGTGGGTGACCCCTTCCACCAGGTGTGAGTGGGGCCACCTTAGACCACCACCTCTAGTGGAACTGCTAAATGACCATAGTTCCTGAGGGACCCAAGCTGGGCCCTACCCAAATTGTTGACCACAGAATCATAAGCAAGATGCTTTGGGGTGACTTGTGACAAAGGACAGCTGACTCATAAAGGCTCTTGGCTGAGTTGCGATCTCTAAACACACCACTGTCATCATTCCTGAATTGTGAGTCTCTATGCTGTCTTTACTGACACCAGCAAACTCAACTCTGCCTAGGGGAAGCCAGGCTACAGGCCCAAGCATAAGGGCAGCATGTGGTACATGGTAGACAGGGTAGACCTTGCAAGGCTCTGGAAGCCATATTATAGACTGGATGATTTTAAACATAAAAAATGAGGGAAGAGAGGATAGGCTGGTTCCAGGAGCATTTGAGAAGAGTGCAAATGTGATGCTGTCAGTTAGACAGGGAGGGTAAAGAGGCCATCAGGGACATCTCTAGGCAAATACTTGACCACAGCCCATGTACGCCTATTAGAGGCTCACGGTCCTCACAGTGGTCAACCCTGTACAGTCATCTTGAGGTATTGATTTCCCCCCCACCCCCCCCAAAACACACACATACACACACACACACTTCAACCACACTGAAGACAGCCTGGTTCCTTTTAAGCTGACTAAAATTCCTAAATGGGAGAAAGAAGAGTTTCTCTGCCTGCAGCCAGGGGCCACCTCCATCAGAAAGGCCTCCAGGTTCACTCCATTCTAGGTAAGGAAGATACACAGCCAGTACCTCATGACCCTTTACCTGCACAGGTGCCAGTCTTTGAGATAGAGACAGCCCCGGGGAGAGGAGTAGTTCCCCTGGATGTACTCTTTCCAGTAACTGATGTAGTCTCTAAAGGGCATGTGTTCTTTGGGGTTCGAGTTGTATTCCTGGACCCCACAGTTTGCAACTGGAACAACTACATCTCCTAAAACAAGGATCAGGCATATTTTTGTTGAGTCTTCCAGGCCTTCAGTCCTTCAGGGCTCCATCTGCCCTCCAAACCATCTGCAAATGAATTTTTCAGGGGAACCACTCACACTTCGCCTTCCCACCCTTCATGACTTCCCTCTGCAGTCTGCCCCTGGTCCTGGCAGTCTGGACACCGTTCAGCCTTGTGCCGGTCCCTTCCAATGTGCCAATGCAGGGGTTGCCCTCGGCTAGGCCCTGGTTCTGTCATGTGTTTCCCCCTCAACCCTGGCCCCGGGGGACGGGGGTGGGGATGGTGGGCGGCCTGTCCCGTGTTTTCCCAGTCGAGCACTCTAGCTGATGGCACCCTCACCGTATTTCTGGAGCAGATAGTCGAAGTCGGGCTTTCCCGCAGGTGTCACCCAGTGCCGCCGGCTGCCCCAGCTCTCGGTGAAGGCGCTAGAGAACACGCAGGGCAGGTTGGGCAGCAGGTAGCCCTTGAAGAAATCAGCGTAGGAGAAGGCGTCGGGTTTCTCAATGTATGCCACGCGGTCGTGGGCCCAGCTGCCGCCGCTCAAGACCTGACCCTTACGGCCCTGGATGTAGCGCTCAGCAAAGGCGCGCGTCTCTCGGTCCATCAGGCCCGGGCCGGGGTGAACGCACCAAATCTACACAGCACCTCGGAGGAGCGGCTCAAGATCTATCCCCAAGACGCCCGGGCCCGGCTCCTAACTTCCGGCCAGAGCGGAAATAGGGAGACTAAAACACGGAACCAGGAGTCCGAGCGCGCAGCGTTTCCCCCCGACCCTGGCGCACTCGCATTGCACGCATGCGCGTAGCGCGCTGCGGTACTTGCGGTGTCTCCAACCTTCTCCTGGTTAACGTCGGGAGTGAGCTGTGGTCAAGTACAGCCCACCCAGAGTATCGCAGTCTTCACGTCTTCCGCTGCTGGCTTGTGGCTAGACCTGTGTCCCTACTTCTTCTGGCCCTCCCTGGGCACCGTCAACCCGCTGAGACTGACGCGGTGATGAGTCTTCCTGTCCCCCAAACCCCAAACCCTGGGAGGAAGGTGGTGGGATGTGGACTGGATTGAGAAAGGAAGAACGGCCAGGGCGGGGGGGGTGGGCGGTGGTGGTCTGGAAGGCTGTGGGCATGGAGGGGACCTAGATAGGAGGCTTAGGGGGACAGTGGGGTCTGGAGGGGATGGCGCGAGACCCAGGGACTAATGGTGGAGTGTTTGGAGGAAATGTTGGAAGGCCTAAGAGGTTGGTGGGATCGGGAGGAAATGATTAGGAGTCAGGGAGTGCGTAAATTTAAGGTTTTGGGGAGTGTGGGTAGAGATTTGGAGCTGTGGGCACATTAGCAGACCTGAAAGAGGGGAACTGTCAGCGTGTTGGAGAAGTAAATCTTATCACCTCAAACATCCCTTCATAAACATGGAAAGATAGAGAACAGACTTATTACTGTGTAAACTTGAAAGATAACATGCATATGGGTGGTCTGCATGAGAGTACAGTCTGGGCAGCACTTTACATGTATCACACATAGTAAAGTAGTAGGAAGAACCATTAAAACCTCACTTTTCAAGCTAGCAAGTGGCATGGAGGTTAAGGTGGCTGGATCACACATGGCCAATTGAGTGGCTCAAATCCTGACCTAGTTGCTTGAGAAACACACTGATGTATGTGCATGTGCCCAAAATCTCAAAAAGAGAAAGGGGGAGAGTGAATTGTGGCATGGCCATCTGCTTTGGGGGTGATTTCTCACTTTTCCTCTCTATCTCTGTCTCTCCAGTGAGCACACATACCTTATAGCAAACTAAAACAAAAACACCTCACTTCTCTCCTGGAGAGAAGCTAGCTGTACCTTGAGATAGTCTCCTGCACCAGTAAGAGACCTCTGAGCCTACTTTCAAGGTATGTGTTGACAGTCTGCATGGCAGCAGGCTGGTAACTGCCTTGTAAAACCTAGAGACCGGGTTATCTCATTACTGATCAGAGGAAATACCTTAAGGGCATGAGAGGAGGGTTTCCTCCCCTTTATTAAACAACAGTCCTTAGAAGCAGGGATAAGGAAAGTTCAGTAGATGTTGGCACTCTCAACCTTGCCCAGGGAGTTTGAGGAGGAACTGTTTCAAAGAGCTTTGACTTCTACCCAAAGAAAAACCAAAAGAGGGGAGGACCAAGGTCTGAGGAGTTAGAGGGGAAGTAAGAGTTGGAAGATGAGTTTGGGGAACATCAGAGGTCCAGGTAAAGCAAGGTCTGAAGTTGAATGGGGAAGGGATAGGAGGTGGAAATTTTTTGTGGAGAGTGTGTGAATCCCTGTGCTGTGGTCCCTTCCTAGGTGGCATCATTGTGCCTTATGTGCTCAAGGTGTGGAATTCTTTATTAACCTAGGTTATGGTAGAAAATGAGGATGCATGGAGAAGTTAAAATGGAGGAAAAGAGGGACCAGCAGTTAGCGTAATGGCTACGTTGCTGGACTCCCCTGTAATCGACTGCGGTTTATGTCCCGAACCCGGTGGCTTAAAACTCATGTCGGGCGCGTGTGCATGCATGCCCAAGATCCTGAGAGGGAGAATGGAAGAGAAGGGATTGCGGTGTGGCCATCCCCCCTGGGGGCTGATTTCTCGCTTTCTGTTTCTCTGTCTCTCTCTGTCTGGCGAGTGCACGTGCCCTATAGCAAAAACCTCTTAAAAAAAAATGGAAGAAAAAAATCACCCATTATCTCATTCAGAAATGAGCATTATTTGTTGTCTGCTATGGAGCCTGTCTTTCCAGGCATGCATTTGTGCATGCATCCATTCATTCATTTTCCCTCACTGCTCCATTTTTTCTCTTTTGGTTCCTTATATACTTGTGTGCATGCACGCACACATACACATACTCACACACAGACATAGCTTTTCTTTTCCTTCTTACATATGAGTGCAAACACGATTTCTCTGTATCCCCACTATATACACACACACACACATATATATATATATATATATGTATATATATATTACTATGTATATAAAGTGTGAGGTTTTTAACCTTGCTTTTGTTTTTGTTTTGTTATAGGGCATGTGCACTCTCCGAAGAGAGACACAGAGAGAAAGTGATAAATCACCTCCCAGGGTTGGTGATGGCCATGCCACAATCCCTTCTCCATTTGTCTCTGGGAACTTTGGTTACACATGTACATGCGTTTTTTTAAGCCATCAGGTCCGGGACTCAAATCACACAACTGGCTATGTGGGATCCAGCCGCCTTAACCTCTACGCCATCTGCTGACCCAACCTTATTTTGTTTTGTAATTAATGATGTATGTAACATCTTGCCATCTATTGACCAGGTGTTCCATGATTATTAATTGTTTGATTTTATTTGTGGTGAGTACAGCTCATTGGAAGCCAGTGAAAAAAATCTGGGAAGCAGTGTTTATAATTATCCCAAGATTTGGGCTATATGGTTCACAGTTTGTCTGACAGGGATAATATGAAATCCAGGCCTTGCCTGGGAGAAAGGTCCACATCTCTGTGGTGGAGACTAAGTTTTCTAAGAGAGGACAGTCTGGGCCAGTAGGTCCACATACTTCTGAAATTATTATGGCAACTAAGCCCGTAACTCAGGGTAGGAGATTGAATCAGCCGGTCCAGTTATTTTGTGGTGTATTTCCCTTAGTCCACATGGTGGCCCTCTGGTGCCAGTATTACCACCTTTCTACAAATGAAGCCTGGAGAGAGTCATTAAATTTTGACAGGTCTGGAACACAGGTGTGTGTCATCCAGAGGTTCTTAGACTAGTATTAGCATTGCCTGAGAGCTGGTTGGAAGTACATTTTTCTCAGGCCCCACTCAGGCCTACAGAATCTGAATTTCTGGAGCCAGCCGGAAAGAAAACTAGAGTGGGTTTAAAAGTCTTTACGTTGGAGGAAATACAATAGGAATATCACCAGATCTTAGTTCTCCCTAAAGAGCTAGTGCATGCCTTGTGAATAGGCCATAGTGCTGGGTTGAAACACCTCCAGACAGCATGCTTGAATCTCCTAGATTGAAGCTGGGAGCCTCTGAGGGAGTGGAAAGAGGATCTAGGGAGCAGGAGGGCAGGTAATGGAAAAGCCAGCAGTGCCTACACCGCCCCCGCCCTGCACACACTGCTGCACTGTTCTCACTCTGAGCCTTCTTGTGGTTGGGAGGTAGTGGAAGGTGTGCAGCATGTTGCTTGATCTGTTACTTTGGAAATTAACTAAAAATAGGGTGTTTACATGATACTGAGTCTTACTCAGGGGGCACATGTCTGATGGAAATGCTGAAAGAGAGCCATTATACAAATTGCAGTGCATTATGAATGCAGTCCGTGTGGCCATGGACTTCTTCCCCAAGAGTGTCAGTTGTGTGAATTGGCCTCAAGCTCCCTTGGGCTCCTAGCCATGACCTCCCTTGCTAATTCAACTCTGTATACCTAGGGTCAGCACAGTTCTCTAGGTCCACACCTGTACTGGTAGAAATGGGTTCCAGATTGCAGCATGCAGAGACTAAATAAGGACTCCATAACTTACTGTCAGTTGGACAGATAGGCAACATGTGAGGGGATAGACCTAGTCTGTGCTTTCACTTGATATGACTGTGGTCCCCTCAACATGTATTCCTTGAGTGCCCATGATGTGTAAGTATTGTATGCAAGACCCTTTCCTGTGATGGTCACCTTCCCTAGTGTGCATACAGCCATGTAAGCACATAAACTCTCTGAAGTTATATTAGTGGTATGGTTGGGTAACAATACAGTAGGAAGGGTGAGGGTACCATTGAGCGGAGACATGAAGAATGAAGCTATCATTCAGTGTCCCTGGAAAAAACTGCAAGTGGGCAGTCTGGAGGCAGGAGTGGACAGGCTGCTGGAAAGCAGAGAGGAAAGGGCTGGATAGTGAGGTTGCAGGTCATGTGAAGTCCATTAGGCTGTCATGAGGAGATTCAGTTTTACCTGAAGTACATTGGGAAGAGATTTGACAAAAGAATGACACTTTCTAGTTCTGTTTTATGACGGTCTCTTTGGCTAATGGATGGAAAATGGGTTGTGGGTTCAGGGTAAAGTAGGCATGCCAGGTGAAAAGTTGTTCAAATGAGTGGTGACCATGACTTGTATAGTGGTGTGGACAGAGCAGTGGACAGTTGCCAGGGCTTGTTTATGGGGTGTTTGGGAGAACAAAGAAGAGAAGAATCCAGAACTCCTAGACCTGGTGGTGCCTTTATTGAGAAGAGCAGACAGTGGGGGATTTTCTTTTTCATATTTTTTTGGGGGGTAGGTTTTTGCTGTAGAGCATGTGTGCTCACCAGAAAGAGGCAGAGAGACAGAAAGTGAGAAATCACCTCCCGGGGGATGGCTATGCCACAGTCCTTTCTCTTCCTTTCTCCTCTCAGGATCTTGGGCACACACGCACTCACACCTGGCGTGAGTTTAAGCCACCGGGTCCGGGACTCAAACCACAGTTGACTACGTGGGGCGAAATAGCCATTACGCCAACTGCTGGTCCCACGGTGAGGGATTTTCAAATGAAGATGCAGGTTTAGGGTAGAGTAGAGATACCTAGCAGGTGATTAGATGTCTGCATCTGAAGCCCTGAGACAGCATGTGTAGAGTTGTGCATTTGGTAGGGAACAATTTGGAGGTGATATTGAATGTCATGGGCCTGTGTTGACTCACTTATGAAAAGAGTATTTCTTAAGACCTTGACTGTGCCTTGTATATTCAAGTACAAAAAAAAAAAAATTATCAGAGGAGACTGAAAACATGTGCCTATGATAGTGGAGGTGCAAGAAAGCATTACGTCCAGGAAACAAAGCTACAAGTATTTTAGTCCATTAATTGTATTGGTAAACAGAAATACCTGACTGGGTGATTTTTTTTTTTTTTTTTTTTTTTTTTTTTTTTTTTTTTTTTTTTTTTTTTTTTTTTTTTTTTTTTTTTTTTTTTAAGAATACTTTATTTAGCTATGATGATCCCAATGACTGGAAAGTCTTAGGAGCGTGGAGCTGGCATCTGGTCAGCCTCTGGTCCTGCATCACAATATGACTAGGAGAATGGGGAAGGTCTGTACAGAGAGAGAGACCCGGGAGTAGCTGCTTTCCTTTTATAACAACCTGCTTTTGTATGCAACTCCTCATGAAAGTGAGAACTCACTCACTCTCGTGAGATGGCATTAATTCATTCATGAGGAAGATGTCTCCATGATTCAAACACTAGGCCTCACTTCTTATAGGCCTCAGTACTTAACAATGCTTTTATACTGGGGGACCTAATTCCAACACATGAACCTTTGGAGGATAAACCAATATCTAAACAACTTTCAGAAAGGTGTAGAACATTGCACATAGGTTAGAACAGGTATGGACATTGAGTCTAACTACCTGGAGACTGCCGGTAACTATGAGGTATGTCAGGGAGGTGATGAGGACAGAAGCATTTTCTGGAGTACCTGGGTGGTAGGTGAGGTGTGTTTAGGGAACAGTATTTCTGAGAGGAACAGTGCTGGGAGATATGAGGGCATACGGGTGAGTGTGTGTGTTTCTTTTAAAGAGGAAAGTTTAGACTATGTTTATAAACTGATGAGTTAATTTAGGACAGGGATTGGCCAACTGTGGCCTACAGGTCAGGTCTAGCTGCCATGTTTTTGTAAAGGAAGATTTAATGAGATAACCATACCCTTTTGATGTGTTGTCTGTGAATACCTTCACTACAGTTGCAGAGTTGAGTGGCTGTGATAGACTACATAGCCTACAAAACCTAAACTATTTACTGTTTGTCCCTTAATAGATTGCATGGCACCTGGCATAAGAGAGAGAAGTCATTGATGCTGGAGCAAGCAAGGAGTTAGGGTCAAGGACACAAAAGTGGATGGCTTTGACCATCTGAGGAGCAGAAAATCTGCTTCCCGTGGACTCTGTGAGGGCAGGTGTTTTAGTGAAGGGTCAGGAGACAAGGAGACATGTGCAAGTGTGGGTTGCTTCGGATGTACTGTGGGGATGTTTTCTTTACTTCCACCTTTCCACTTAATCTTTGTTTATTTTGGTTTTCTGGGAAAGTTGAATTATAAATCTGGTGGTAAAAGTTGTGGTCACATGTTTCTCCTTTCACTTCTTTCCTGGTGTTTATCAAACTTGAATACTTTTCTCATATGTATTATTTATAATGTGATGAATATTTTGGGGGTTTTTTTGCCTACTAATTTTTTTCTTGCTCTTTTGTTTCTTTTCTCTTTGAATTTTAGAATATTTAGTGTGGTTGTATCCTTAGAACTTTTAGTTATTTTAACGGTGAATAAACAGAAGTCCAGGAGGTGAGGTAACTTTTCCAGAGTCATAAAATTTGTAGCAGAGCTGGTGCTGGAACCACAGCGTGCTTCCTCTGATGCTGCAATGCCAGGTTTAGTAATTCTGTGAGGGATATCTGTGTATAATTTCACTTTGTGCTCATGGAATATCTCCTAATAGTATATACTCAGAAGTTGTAGCATGGGGTCAGATAATTGTTAATAAAAATTCACCTTCCATGCTGTATCACACTCTAAGTATAGGAAATTGCAGTGAACATGCAGGGGTCCCTCCCACGGCAGGTGAGGACGTGTCTATGTATACTGAGATGTGTTTGTGGAGCAGAAAGCCCTAGTCAACTAAGAGAACAGAGGCAACAAACACTGATTCATGCTCCAGCACCCACGTTCTCGCCTATAATGCTGGTCATAAACTTTGAAGACCATAGCTAAGTTGATGTGGTTCACCCTTCCCTATGTCTGAGAAATACACACCTTTCTGTCATCATAATTCAGTGATCGCCAAGTGGTCTCATGGCAGGAGCCACAGAACAGTACAGGTCATGCATGTGGTCTTCTAGCTGAGCTTCTACCTATAGCATTGATTGAAAATGTTTCTTGAAATTGTAGTACCCACTTGAAATTGAGTTTTGGTTCATTTTTTCATGTGTGCGTTTATTACTTTAATGCAATTTTATATTATTAATAAACATTCAATAAACCTTTTATTAAACTGTTACACATAGAAATAAGAACAAATTGCAAGAACAGAAAATGTGCAAATCATGAATTACCACAAATGAGTATGTCCAGGGCAAGAAATGAAAAAATACCAGCATCACAAAGGCCTTCTCAGGTTCCCTTCCTTCTCCCAAGATGTCACTACCATTCTGACTTACTACTTTTGAACATTTTACATATTCATGTCATATATTTTCAAATAAACTGAAATTTGGAAAAGTTGTGATGTTCCTTTAAATTGAGCAGAAACATCCTAGGGTGTTGTGAGTTGATAGAGTGAGTTTGTGGAGTTTGGTGTCTAAATATTTACTTTTATTAGGAAAAAGTCTAGTAAGAAGAATCCAAAGCCTAAAACAGAATGACCTTCGTCATTCACATCACAATCTGAAAGGGTTTTAGATTTTATCCTTCTTGCTGGCTGGGAAATGAGCCTGCAACCATTTCATAAATGCTAGCAGAAGACAGGAGAGTCCTGAACTTTATTACTGTGGCCCAGTGGGCTACCTGTTTGTCCCAAATCCCATGGGGAAAGTATGGGGCCTAGGTGGATTCTGTACATACAGTGAATCTTTGTCATAGCTGAGAACCCTGTGCTCTGTCAGCAAATCTGCATCACTTGTGTCCCCAAAGAAGACAGTATCCTTATTCTGGTCTCTCTGACCAGGAGGGGGAATGTTATCCATAGCCCAAGGCTATTCGCTATGGAAATATCCTTGAAAAAGATAGTCTCAGGCATAGAACCTATAGAAACACCATGGAGAATTGCCTCCCAACAAGATCTACCCCTTGTTTCTATATTGTCTCGGCTCCTGGTGAAATTTTCCCGGGTTACTGTGATCTATTTGGCTGGGATTGAATCTGTTCCACTTGTCTCATGCAATATTTAATGAAGGCTACCGTCAACAGTACTCTAAGCAGCAGGCTGAGGCCAACCTGCAATGTTTACCTCAGCTATGGCCCCCAGGGTCCCAGCTGAACAAACACCATAAACCATGAGTGTTTATCCCATTTATTCAAGTTGCAAAGTAGTCACTAAGACTATGAATAAAATTTGGTCCTTACCTTTAAGAGCTTCCAGTCAAATAAACAAGTGGTATCATACCACGTAATGGATACAGTAAGTATGTACAAGGTCTGTATTACTCTGAGAGTGGGTGAGAACAGGAAAGGTCAAGTGGTATCCACATTAGAAGGAAGACTGGTCCCAGTGGGAGAGGCTGTAGAATACAACGGTACAAAGGCAGGGAGACCAGACAGGCTGCTGCCAGTCTCTAGTTATGCCTTCCTTGCCACCTCTGCAGTCTCTGTCAGCTCTGGGGTTTATATTTAATAATATATTGCCTATTTGTAATCTACTTTGTTTTTGTATAATTAGGAATGTCATTTTGACTTTAGCTTTTCAAGTACAGGTACTACTTTTTTCTTGCATGTCTTATTTACCCTGTATTGTTTGATGCAGTGCCCAGGACAGTGATCGTATTGAAGAATTTTTTAGAGTATAACCCCATGAGAAACTTATTAGGTCATTGGGAAAATCATATTTTTCCATGTTTTTCTATGCAAAAATGCATCATGACTTTCCCAACAGCTCAATAATAGCATTCCAATTGATGCTTCACGAGCCAAGGACTATATCATTTTTTCTTTTGTCCTTGCTGCCAACATGGCATCTGGCACATAGGGGCTTACAAACTTGTTGGCTGAATGAACACAATCCCTGTAGCTTCTAGCTATTCTGAGGAAAGCCTTTTCAATATGTTAGGGAATACAACGGTACAAAGGCAGGGAGACCAGACAGGCTGCTGCCATACTCTAGTTATGCCTTCCTTGCCACCTCTGCAGTCTCTGTCAGCTCTGGGGTTTATATTTAATAATATATTGCCTATTTGTAATCTACTTTGTTTTTGTATAATTAGGAATGTCATTTTGACTTTAGCTTTTCAAGTACAGGTACTACTTTTTTCTTGCATGTCTTATTTACCCTGTATTGTTTGATGCAGTGCCCAGGACAGTGATCGTATTGAAGAATTTTTTAGAGTATAACCCCATGAGAAACTTATTAGGTCATTGGGAAAATCATATTTTTCCATGTTTTTCTATGCAAAAATGCATCATGACTTTCCCAACAGCTCAATAATAGCATTCCAATTGATGCTTCACGAGCCAAGGACTATATCATTTTTTCTTTTGTCCTTGCTGCCAACATGGCATCTGGCACATAGGGGCTTACAAACTTGTTGGCTGAATGAACACAATCCCTGTAGCTTCTAGCTATTCTGAGGAAAGCCTTTTCAATATGTTAGGGAATAATATTAGCTTTTTGTTTTTATAAGTCAAGTCGCGTTTTAATTAAACCATGTGAGAGAGAAAGAGAGAGAGAAGTGGAAGAAATGCTATATTACACTTGGACCACCACTCCTCTTGGAAGAATGCTGGACTAGGCCTTACCAGCTTGGCTCTCACTCTGTCCATGTCATAAAACTGTGGTTGGACATTGCACAGTCCCTCATCCTTTCTTGTCCTTATTTATTTGTACAATGAGAGGGTTGGACTAAATGTTCTATGAGAATTCATTCAAATCTCTCTTAACTTTCAAACTGCATTGATTAATATAAACACGAAAATATGAGTAGCATATGAACATGCTACTTTTATATATGAAAATATGAACAGCTATCTTTATTATAGTTTTGTGGAACTATATATGTAAATTTATACATATACATATTACTACATAGTTATGTAGAACTCCCAAGACTGGGATTATAATAAGAGAAAAAAATTGTAGGATTGTTTTCTTTATGAAGTTAAATAAATTTATAGAAACTTCAGTAGTAGAATGTTAGCAGCAACTTCTGTGAATATGTAATAATAGAGAACACCAGACCCCAAAAATAGTGTTCATGTGCAGGGCATGAGAAGGATCTCTGGGTGATGGGGCAGTGATCTCCTGTAACTTACTTTCTCAAGTCACGTCCATCTGTGATCACTGAGCCCAGTGAAGTTGTCCTGATGGGTGCAGGGTTGGAGAATCTCATGTTAATCTGTTTCTTCTTCAGAGGCAGAGGCTGTGCTCTTGATCTTGGTGTGGACTATTGAGAAACAGATGAGCAGAGACATCTGCATCCATACCTGGCCCTGCTCCTACTACTTAGAACTTGAGAAGCGATGGGTCCCTGGAAAACTGTCCTTAACTCCTCTTTCATTAAAATTCGCAAGTGATAAAACTGCAGACGTTCTTGTTAGCTTTCCTCTCTCTAGTATAGTTGAGATCAAGAAAGAAGCTTCTCATTTTATCTTCAGTTCTATCACCATCCTAGAGAAAGACCATGTGAAACACTGGTTCAGCTCCTTACAGCCTAGTCGGAATGTTGTTTTCAGTATCATCGAGCATTTCTGGAGAGAGTTGCTGTTATCACAACCAGGAATTGCCATGGAGTCGTCGTCTTCTCCCACGTCTAGGGGGAAGGAACTGACAGGTTTAATGGCCTGTTCTCAGAAGCGTCTAGAAGACACAGCGAAAGTCCTTCACCATCAGGGTGAGCAGCTTGACGGTGTCATGAGAAGCTTGGACAAGATGGAGTCTGACCTGGATGTGGCTGACAGGTGGAGTAAACCCTGGTCCCTGTTCTGCCTTGATCTTGAAGAGGAGCATCTTTCCATTATCCCATAATCAGTATATAGCCAGCTACTAAAAACATGGTGCACCTGCTGTGTGTACTGTACTGGGAGCACCACAGTAAGCTCCACATGTATGATGTGCTCTGTATACTATCCTGTGCACGCACACAGTGAGACCCACATGTGTGGACCAGGCACCATTCTTTCCCTTTTTCCATATTTTGCACACATCATTGGTTACCTATTAGTTTCCTGGGGCTCTGATTTGGGGGATCAGGATACAGGTCCTCATATCAGCTCATAGAGGTTGGATTATGATCTCTTGTCAGCTCCTCTGTGCTGAGCTGTGTTGCGATGTTTCATGATATTTCTTTGTTTTTCAAATTTTTGCCAGTGGGCATGTGCACTCAAACAGGGCGAGAGAGAAAGTGAGTAGGAAATGGTCACACCACAATCCCTTTTTTCACCATTTCTCACTCCTTTTGGGATATTGAACATGCACAAACCAGTGCCCAGTGTGCTTTTTAAGCCACCAGGTCCAAAACTCAAACAGCGCAGCCAGTCGTGTGGGATCAAGCTGTCCTAACCATGACACCACATGCCGGCCCTCCAGACATTTCTTTGTATGACTTTTATAAAGTCATACAGCTGGTGGTAGTCCTCAGGATGTTTAAAAAAGTCATACAAAGAAGCATCCGAAGAGCCAGCTGATGGTAGGCCCTCAGTGAGCTCTCACAATTTGTCTATCAGACTTGGTGAAAATTTTTGTATTATTTCTTTGATTATTTCTTCACCTGGTTTTTAGAATTTATTATTTCTGAACCTTTCTTTTCCTATTTTTTCAATGTCTGATATACTGTTCTCTAGTATTTTTCTTCTCTCATTTTGATTTTTCTTTGTTCTACTTTGTATTTCTTGAATCTTTCTATCCTTGTTTTATTTTTAATTTCTAATAGCATCCTGATCTTAACTTCATGGAAGGTCATATCTCTTAGCATATGATCAGTAACCTTATTTGTTCTTCATGGTGTCTGGTTTTTCCAGGATGCTTTATTTTGTGTTTTACTTCCTGCCTTTTTTGTCAGAAGCATTCCTCCGCATTGGTTCCTTTGTGGGAGGGTTGTGAGCAGATCTGTTCTCAACTGGAACCTTCTAGTCAGTGGCCTCATAGTCTCCTTCCTGGAGTATGAGCCTTTGGCTCAGTGTAGAGGGTATTCTTCTTTCTTCCTTCTTCAAACTCTTCCCAGTGGTATTTTGCCTGGGGTTTTGCTTCACACATATCTTCAGACCTTCATTATAGGACACATATAAGTCATTACTATAAAAGAAAACCTTAAAATACTTTACCATTTCTCATGGAAATAATCTATATACAGGCCCAATCAATATATGTAGCATTGTTATGATGTTTTACATCTATTTGCTATACCAGAAATCTTACAATCCTTGAAAAATAAACAGTGAGCAAGGAAACCCCAGAATGCCTGTTTTGTCAACATTAATCAAAATTCCAGACTATATGTCAACAAACTGGCCATAGGATTATTGTTTTACTTTAATTTGGATAGTTATACAGTATCTTGATTAGCAGTGATCTATGTTAGATGTGTGTGCTGTCGCCCTTTAATGAGATTTAAGTCCTCATTAATATATTACATTATTCAGACCAATGGCTGTCTCAATATCTATAATAATTTCAAAGTAGGGATGCACATAATATTTTGAGATCTGCAACAACTGTAATATGATTTAAAAATAGCTGAGTTTTCTTTTGGTGATGGTCACAGGTATTGCTAATAATGCTGTGATTGCCTACATTCAGAATTGAATTTCAGTTAAGAGAGAGGTTAGTGAAAATAACAAAGTGATTTTCTCCCATCCAGTTTTGTTAATAATTCTATTAATGGGCCAGCTGTATTTGTCAATTTCAAAGTCACGTGAATCACTTTAAACCAATCAATCTTAATCTCCCCTCCACTCCTTCCCCCTCCTATTCTCTCTCCATTTTATCTCTCTCTCCCCCTTGTACACATATACATCAATTGATTCTACTAGCTCTGTTTCTCTGGAAAACCCCGAGTGACACAGGTGCTGGTACCAAGAGTAAAGGATAAATTTTTCAAATTGGTTCTATGGTTTCTGGGATTGGTTCTCTAATCTGATTAGTTTTTGTTGTTCTTGTTGTTGTTTTTAATTTGCTAGAGGGTTTTACATTTGCCAGAGAAAGAGAGAAACAGGGAAAGGGCAGGAAGAATGTACCCTACCCTCTTGGGGAATTGTCACACTATAATCCCTTCCCCATTTCTCCCTTCTTTTGGGATTTTGGGCACACTCATCCATGCCTGGTGTGTTTCTCAAGCTGCCAGATTTGGGACTCAAGCTGAGCGGTCAACCATAAGGGATCCAGCTCCCTAACTACCAGGCCATGGACTGGCCCGAGATTTAAGGCCACTAGTAACTCTTATTTCCACTGATAGTCCATAGCATGGTGTGGCAATAGAGATGCAAAATATCACCGTTGGATATGCCTAGTTAAACACTTAAAAAAGCAGTTTTGGGTGACCGTATATTTGATGCCTGAATACATTTTTGTCAAACTAATAGTGAGATATAATGTATAATGGGTATAATGAGATTGGCTAGTTGTTTCTAACACCCCTGGACAATGTGGGGAAAGAAAAGGAAGAGCTTTGGGGCACTGTAAAAATGATCTGGCAGTTTCTGTATCTGCTCTGATGGAAACGCTTAGCTTCTGTAGCTGCAGGACTGGGATTTCTGAAAACCAAATTCAGAGTTTCTTCTTTCAAATTGCTGAATTAGAGCATAAATTGAAATCCTAACTTCATGTGGTATCTACTATTAAACTGAGGGGAAAGATACATTGTTGATCCTGGCCCATCTTATAAGAAAGAGGCACAGTGCCTGATAGGTCTCTTAGGATTTTGAGAGACACCTTATTCCTTGGGGGTTCTACTCTGACCTGTTTAACAGATCATTAAAAAAGCCACTGCTTTTGAGGGGGACCAGAACAAGACAAGGCTCTCCAACATGTTAGGCTGTCAGGTATGCTGTTCTATATGTCTGCTTCCATGCCAGTCCTATACTGTTTTGATTACTGTAATTTTGCGATCTATTTTGAAATCAGAAAGTGTGATGTTTCCATTTTGCTCTTCTTTCTCCGGATTGCCTTGACTATTTGGGATCTTTTGTGATTTAGGAAAAAATCTCTTTCTTAAAGAAAAAAAAAGAAGAAGAAGAAGAAGGAGAAAAATTATCAAAAACAAAATTTAAAAACCAGGAACCAGCAGATGGCATAATGGTTACATTGGTGGACACCCACATAGTCACGCGTGTGTATGCATGCCCAAAATCCTGAGAGGAGAATAGAAGAGAAGGGACTGCAGTGTGTCCATCCCCTCGGGGGGGGGGGGGATTTCTAACTTTCTGTTTTGCTGGATATAGAATTTAGGATTGTTTTTATCTATTTCTGTAAAAAATGGCATTAGAATTTTGTAGTATGGATATTTTAACAATACGGGGACTCCCCACTTAATGACCAAGTTAAAAGTTACATTCCTACACCTAGGTCATTAAGTGAGTTGGTTGATAAGCAAGGAGCTTAAAGGTGAATGTCTCATGGTATGTCGCAGCACCATAGGATATGTCTTTTTCAATAGATATCACATAACCCTACTCAAGAACAATGCAATTCTGTTCATACAAAAAGCATGCATTAGATAAGTGCCAGAAAGCAACAAGGCACACAACACAATAATATAAATCTGTTTTGATAATTTTTATTTATTCTGACTATTACTATGGGTACACAATAAAATACAAATTTATAAACAAAAGATGTGGTCTTGCATGATCACAAATGCTTCATGTAGTGAATACTATCTGACTGCAGGAACAAGACAAAGACTGAGAAAGGGGATTTCCGGACCAGAGAACTGGTCCTAAGTCAAGCAGTCATTAAACAAGTAGGTCATTAGGAGACTGTAATAAGTCTTCTAATACATTAGCACTGGATATCTTTCTATTTATTTGTATCTTCTTTATTCTATCTGTGTTTCATAGTTTTCAGTGTACATGTCTTTCACCTCCTTGGTTAAGTTTATGCCTGCAGTTTTATTCTTTCTAGTCTATTGTGAGTAGGGTTGAGTTTTTTTGTTTGTTTTTAGAGAGATTTTTGCTGTAGGGTGTGTACACTCATCGGAGAGACTCTCAGGATTTTGGGCATGCATACACACGCGTGACTATGTGGGTGTCCACCAATGTAACCATTATGCCATCTGCTGGTTCCTGGTTTTTAAATTTTGTTTTTGATCATTTTTCTTCTTCTTCTTCTTCTTCTTCTTTTTTTTTTAAGAAAGAGATTTTTCCTATAGGGCATGTGCACTCGCTGGAGAGACAGAAAGCAAGAAATCATCCCCTGGGGGAGATGGACAAGCTGCAATCCCTTCTCCAGTCTCCTCTCAGGATTTTGGACTCAAACACACATGCACCTGGCTTCAGTTTTAAGCCATCAGGTCGAGTCTTGAACTGCATTCGACCATGTGGGAATCTAGTGACATAACCATTATGCTGTATGCTATTCCCTAAAATGGGTGATTTCTACCAGTTCTCCTAGGTTTCCTTCATCTATATCTATCTTGATTTCCTCTTTACTCCTGAAAGAAAGTTTTGCTGGATATAGAATTTTGAGTTGACATTTCTTTTTATTTTTTAAAGAATTATTTATTTATTTAATTCTATTTGTTATTATTAATTTGACCAAAAAGAGACAGAGCGAGAGAGAAAGGGAAAGTGAAAAAGCAAACTGCCAAATTCGGGACTTGAACTGTGAAAATCCAGAGCCTTTAACCACCGCCTGCCAGCACCAACAGTTCTTTTCTTTCAGCACTTGAAAGATGTGCCACTTTGGGGCCAGTAGGTGGCGTGGTGGCACTGGACTCCCACATGGCCGACTGCGGTTTGCATCC